TGAAAACAAGCATATGTAGTTACAGTTAAGAACAAGTATGAAGTTTTGAAATATGTTGAGGATTCAACAATGGAACTTTCAAGGGAGCACTTGTGACAACAGTAAAAGAAATGATCCTGAGGAAGAAAAGACAAGAGAAAAAGAAGTGGATGACAAATGAAATTCTCAACTTAATGAAGGAGAGATAACATATAAGGCTGAGAAATGTCACCAAGTATGTAAAGCTAAACAAAACAGAAATGAGTGCAAGCTGGCAAAGGAGAAATGGCTAATTAGAAAATGTGTAGAAATAAAAAAAAAAAAAATGAATGACATGAATGCATCAGGAATGTATAGGAAAGATCAAAGAAATAAGAAAACAGAAAGCAAAATATTCACTCTGATGTATAAAATCTAAAGAGGGAACAATCATTATTGAAAAAGAAAAGTTACTGTAATGATGAAATGACTGCAGTAGAGAAATCTTTCAGGACAACAGAAGAAAGAAGCCTACAATACATGTAATGAACAATGAAACTAAATTTTGAAATAAGAATTGCAGTTGACAAGATAAACAGAAACAAAGAAGCAAGACCAGGAAAGATGACTTTGAAAGTGATACTGTTATTGAAGTGATGAACAAAATATACAACAGTGGTGAAATAATGGAAGATCTAAGAAGATCTTTTCATAAGTCTGTCAAATAAACTATGCTTTAATAATCATGGACATCATTGAAACTCAGCTTGATGAAATCTAAAACAAAACTAATAATTGGAAATCTTATGAATGGAATTCATTGTAGAATCAGGCAAGAAATAGTGAAGAACAATGTGATTAAAAACACTATAACAAACAATGTTATTTTCCTGATCAAAATGAGGGATAGAAATATAGAAAGACTTCTGTTTGCTTTATAGGATATATGCATTGATCTACATGGAAAGAATATGGAAATCATGTACAATCAGTTTTGGAAACAAATGACTTGTATGTAAATAGAGAATGAATAAAATGCATACATCAAAATAGACACAGGAGTGTAACAAGTATATGCTTACTCACTACTGCAGTGATATGATTCGAAGAGAATTGTTAAAAACGGTTTTGAATGAGTGAAGCCTGTGGTACTTGGTGAAGAAAACCCTTGTTTGAACCATGTGGATTTGCACTATAGAATCACAAATAAAGAACTGAACCAGATAACAGAAGTCACATCACTCAAGGACTTTCAACAACAGCAACAGCTAAAATAGATATCACATGTAACTCAGAGAGAAAATGATATAATTAAATGCTGACATTCCACACCTCTTTAAATAAAAGGTGAGGAGAGAAACCCCTATCAATACTGAAAAGAACAATAACAGCAACTGGATTTGAGAAACTCATTTTCCTGAAAAATTGTTTTAAGAGAAAGATTTTTAAATATTTCAACTCTCAGCAACACTGGTCAAAGAAGGACAAATATTTCTTTATAAGGTAATGGCTAATATTACCATTATTTTGAACAACAGCCTAGTGGATTAAAGTATTGGTTTAACCCCTTGACTGAGTAGTGCATAATCAGACTGTGTGGAAACAGAGGGAGCTATAAGTGAACAGTACTAAGGGGAACATGTCAAGATATCCCTAGACATGGACAATGTAATGAGAACAATCTACTTATGGATATTAAATAAAAAGTTACTAGGATTTAAGAAATCACAGTGGCTGAAACCAAATGACTCATGTTAGAAATTCACACAGAAAGAATTAGAAGATTTAGCAGCATTTATTATCTGTAGACACAACACTAACATAATGGTAATTGACTTGAGTGTAAAGCAAATCAGTATCTAGCATTTGATTCAAATGTAAACTGGATATATGTTGGCTCTCTGTGCCGCACCAGGAAATTCTTCTTCCCGTAATCAATACTTCAAATATACAAATCAACCATTCGCCCTTGCATGGAGTATTGCTGCCATATATGGTCTGGTGCACCTTCTGTTTACCTTGGAGTTCTTGACAAGATCCAGAGGCGGATATGTAATATAATTGGCCCTGATCTGGCATCTCATGTACAGTTGCTCTCTCACAGACGCACTGTCGTCTCTCTCTGTCTTTTTTACAAATACTTTCATGGTAATTGCTCCAATGAGCTGCTTTCACTGGTTCCCAGACTTTATGAATTCAAGCACCCTATGAGGCTGGCATCCCGCTCTCACCCTTTCACTGTAGAAACTTTTAAATGTAGCCATCTCTTCTACTCCAATATCTTCATACCTTGCACCTCTCACCTGTGGAACATCTTTCCCTATTACTGTTTCCCTGAGAGCTATAATCTCCAACTATTCAAATGTAATGTCAATCGACATCTCCAGTTACCTTGATCTATCCACTATCCTTCTCCTCATCCTTTCTTCTATCACTCCTATCTGCTCTCGCTCCAAATCTTCTGCAACTCCCTGCATCCTAGTGGCTTCCCGCCTTGCTCGGGGCGTAATGTTTAAAAAAAAAAAAAATGTCTCCTTGTCCATTAATTTTTAATGTTTTTTGTCCTATAAGATTTATAATCAATATTAAATAATTCAGGAAGGGTTGATAAATTAACTAACCTAACCTAAACAGAAATGAAAAAAAAATAGGCTGGAAGCAACCAACAAGTTGCCCTGGGGTAGAAATGACTGGAGATATTTGCACCAGAGTGGTATCAGGAATTTTGAAATACGTCATATTGACCAGCTAAGAGACGAAAGACAATGAATACTAATGTTTGTTAAGAATACAAGAGACAGAACATGTGGTAAATGATGAAATTTTAAGGAGAAAAAAAAGTATAAATAAACAGTTGTATTCAGAATGGGACAGCTGTAATTTGGGAGATTCTTAATGAGGAAAGAATTAGAGAAGGCAAGGAAAGATTGAGTGAATGGATGGAGAAACAAGTATCACAAAGAGAAGAACAGGTAATAAAGGAGCAACTATATAATGTAAATAATAATGTATAGCCAGATTGAGAGTGGATAAAGGATTGTTGGATGGCCATTGCTCAGGTATAAAGACAAGCTAAAGAGTAACTCCTCAGCTGTCAATATGCTTTATACTAACTTTGAGCAAGTTGCCCTGTATAGAAATAATTGGAGAAATTTTTGTGCCAGAGTGATATCAGAAATTTTGAAATCTATTGTATTGACTGGCTAAGAGACAAAAGACAATAGTGAAAAGGATCAGCAAATATTGCTGTTGCTATGATCCTCATTGTTGTGCACAATATGTGGACTTGTATGCAGGTCACTAGTGGGACTGATGTGTTACATACAACACAATTATAAAAACTGAATGAGGTTGTCTGATTCTCATACATCAAAATGGATGGGAGAGTCCATCATCATTATATATATATATATATACACAAAAAAATCACAAACTTATTTTGCCAGCTAGAAATGGTTAAAAAATCTTATATATATATATATATATATATGATAAAAATATAGATTTAAGGTATACTATATTCTTGTGTAAGAATGCTCAATATTAGGAGTGGGGCTGTATTTATATAAGAATGGACACTCATATGTACACACCATTATGGTTGAATGCAATCTGATGGCTATCAGATTGCATTCAATGAAGCATGAAACAGAATGTCATCACTTGGTGTTGGCCTTAGTATCCACTCTTTTTATATATATATATATATATATATATATATATAATGAAAAGTTTGGTAATCTGTATGGACAATCCCAAGGAAGATGTAATCCAGAGAGCTCAATGTCAAATCAGAGCAATTATAATTTAAATAGAAAACAGACAACCTTAAGGGCCCATTGTTTATATTTTATTTTCCCAGGTATATGGTTTTTACCTGGTTCATTAAAATTAGAATTCATTTAAATTATATCTTTACTTTTCTTTTTCTCTTTATCTCGTTTCCTGTTAGATGACACGTTTTAGAAAAATAAACATTTGTTAAAATAACTACAGGAATCCCTTGATTAGTGTGGCTAATGTGTACATCATTAACTATAAAAAAAAATCAATTTTCAATTACTATGGTAAAAATGAAGAATATCTTACCACACTAATAGATTAGTATGTATGCACTAATCAAACTATGGAGTATAAAAATTTTACTGCACTAATTGAAAATGTATTAATCTAGGGATGCCTGTATGATGATACAAAACTAGGCTAAAGTGCTGATAAATTAAATATTTGGAAGTAACACTTAATGGTTGATGTTTATTTTAGTAAAATGTACTGGAAGGCGAGAAATCATTTGTTGAATCATATTGACTCAGTTCAGCTGAAAATAACTGTTTGAATTTGGCCTATTAATTGGGACTTAAACCAGAAGATTATTTACAAATGAAGTGTATCTTTTTTTTTTCAAGTGGATGCATGTCTGAGTGGTTAGAACATTCAGATTTTAACCATGAGACTCTTGTGTTTGAATCACACCATGGTTGATTTGCCAGGGAGGTGACACTATTGAAAAGTCTCTGAAAAGCATATACAGTGTAACCCGGATATAAGAGAGTTGTTGGGACCGGAGAAGAAGTCTCTTATATCCGGGTTTCTCTTATATCCGGGTTTGGTCTATTTTATATACATTAACACAGGCTCTAATTTGGGACCAGAGAAAATCTCTCTTATATCCGGGTTTCTCATATCCGGGTTACACTGTAATAGTCTTGTGAGAGAAACAGTAAACAAAACTGCTCAGGAGCTATTGATGCTTGTACTAGCATGAAATTACAAATCATCATGACTGATGGCTTCAAAAGATGATCACATCAGATCATTTGCTCTCTTCCAGAAATTGTAACTAAAGTCTGCTCATCATATTTATAGTATAAACAAATGTTCCTGAAAAGGAAACTACAACATGGATTGGCTAGTCATCCTAGGAAACTCCATAGTCTTCCAAGACTGATGGATACCTACAATTGTTTTTTCTCAAGAAAGTAAGCTAAAGGTGACAATTTATCAGTAGTAACAACATTATCATAAAGAATTAAAAAACTTACCAACTATTCTGAAGTTTGCATGCAGCGTACTGATATTGAGTGTGAACTCAGACAGGTTGGGGTGCTCAGTAAAACTCCGTACTCGACCTAAAAGACAAATATCATTGATTAATTAAATTTGTACAAAACAGATTCTAACTGAAAAAAGAAACACTGACTGAGAATTCCATTATGGCTACTATAGCAAAGCAAAAAATAAAGTGCTGTAACTAATTTAGTGCTTGTAAAAAAAAAAAAATGTCAAGGTGTTGAAAAGTTCACAGCCTGACCCACTTACAAGAATCTAACCAAATCATCATATATATATATATATATATATATATATATATATATATATATATTTTTGTAGGACTTCATTGTTGGGCTGAGCATGTTTAAGTATCCTCTTATAAACATATTTAAATTATTCAATCAACTACACACAAAAATTTACTTTATTTACAAAAACAATACAAAACCTGGAGAGGAATGGGCTTTGTCAGACTCTCTTGTCCTAAACACACTTCTTCTGCTATTGCTGCATGACATATAGTGCCCCAGTGATCATGATGTGTTATAAGGATTGTGATAAAAAATGCCAGGGCATTATAAAGCAGTTAAGCTAAAAAAGTGAATAGGCAAGATGCAAAAGTATTAAATATTATTTGTGATTTAGCGAACTTCCTTGTAGGATTTTAGAAGGTGTGGAAAAGTACTCTTTCTGACAAAGAAGAAGTTTAAAAAAAAAATTTTGGTGTTTCTTTTGGATGTGTGATAAAGTGGTCTGTCACGGATTCACCAGGCAAATGAAAGCACACTCACTGGAAGAAATAGCATGGGCTTATATTGAGCTTCATGACAGAACCCATAACAAAAACAGGTGAGATTGGCCAATACAAAAACAACGAAGCATTAGTTTCTATTACCTGGTGTTTGTGAGTTCAATTTCTGTGCTGGACAATACATAAGTATATAGAAAAATAAGGTAGGTCAGGTCAATAATTATTCAGTATCTCTAAATATGCACACATGTTTATAAAAACATATCTATATCCATCTTTTTCTTTTTGGTGACATAGATGCTTGTTTTTCCCCCCTTGTCACAGCGTAGTTTAACAACACCAATTTGCATTATATGCCAAAGGCAGGTATGCAGGAGTTATCAAAATTAATGTCTGAAAACAGCAAATTCTGGTTTTCTAGGAGCAGGTAAATGCTCTATATTGCAAAATCCTGTTTTATATATATATATATATATATATATATATATATATATATATATATATATATATGTATTGGGAAAATGGATTAAATCTGACATCTTTTTAATTTACTTGTTTAAATGTTATTTTTGAGTAGATACTCATATTTGAGTAGATGTTATGTTTTTATTTATTAAACGGTATATTTAGTTATTTACATCTACTGACTTGAATATTCGAGAAATCTTATTATAAAAATATGCACCCTGCACATATTTTTTAACAAGATTTCTCAAATATATACAGGGAAAGGTATGAATCCTCTTCTTCTCCCTCCAACTATGGGTAAATAGCAGGACAGACTGGGTTCTATAGCCTTGTATGGCAATTGGTCTAGGAGAAGGAAAACTCTGAATTCAAAACCTGCGGAGGGTCGTTTGGGGACCCTGTGGCACGTAGTGCACCAGGTCTCTGTAATCGGCCCTTCAAAAAGTGTGGATGGTCCTGCATGAAACCTTCACCACTATAATCAAATCTCATGTGCTATACATGCAGGTTGGGGACCGCTTGTGAATTCCAAATTCCCATGAAACTCCAATATTGGAGCTGGCTCAGCCCACCTCGGGTGAATACTGTTACAAGAAGAGAAGAGAAATATATACAGTGCATATACTCAAATATCCATTAAAAATAATGTTTAAAAGAATAAATTAAAAATATGTTGGACTTAATCCATTTTCCTAAAAAACAGTCTTTGTTTACACTAGGATATGAAACAGAGCAGATATGTATATTTTGAGAATTGGGAAGGATATGTGTTCAAAAGCACTATTTGGGCTTTGATCAAAAGGTCTTACGTGGCCGAGAGAACAAGACACTTTTATATTTGTTGTTATTCCTTCACAATGACCTTTGATTGAATATTGTTTTCCATTTTCATATGTATTTCTGTCAATAACCCACTGCAAGTTTTCTACTGGATTAATATCTGAAGAAGCTAGTGTTTATTCTAATAATTTATTGTCTTGAACCTTTGAAACCTATTTTTTTAGCAAGGTGGGTAGTTAACTTTGTTGAATGTGAAGAAGCACTGTCTTGCCTGAATGTACACTTGTAACATTCAAAAAGCTTCATCTCTAAGAATTTACAATAATTCTCTGCACCTACGTTGACACAATCACCAAATTTAAAGTGATGTTTTGGATTGGTGCATAATTATCAAGCGTTTTTAAACAATATTTATTATGAAAAAAGAAACATAACAATTCAACAATAACATTTTTAAATGATTATTCCGGAGCATATGATTATCGACACACATTTTTATAACCTGAAAATAAAATATTTTTATTAAAAGAAATAGCAATTTTTATGAACAAAAAACACCTACAAAAACACTTGATAATTATGCACCAACTCAATAATTTTATTGTTTACAATACTAGCCCAAATATTTATTCCAGCTTTCACCGGTTGCCTTATAAGTCAAATTAACTATTTCCATGAGGACCCAATCTCTTGTCCAGCCATCATTTCTGACAAATGTAGTTATGCATACATCACTAAATAACTCTTCTCATTGAGGAATCAGTTTTCATGTGTGTTTTTTTTTTGCACAAGTTAATTATTCCTCTTTGTGATTTTTACTTAAAGGCTGGTAGTTTTAGTTGGTCTTGTGTCTTTAGGCTGTTGTTATTGGGTTCAGTGTCAACATCTGAAGTTGTAAAAAATGTCATGTTGCAAGCAAAAATTAAGTGTTGAATTGATTGAGAAAATAAAAAAAACAAAAGTGTGAAATGAAACAATATAAAATGTTTATTGTAGGAAAAAAATTTTCATGTAGAGAAAGTTTTGAGGATAATTCCTGAAAGAAAATGCGAACTCAATGAATATTCTTTAGAGTCTGAGTAAAGAATGTATTGATACAATTATAATTGAATAATTCATCTCTAACTGCATGTGTGGAAGTTGACTACTGAAGTTGTAGAACAACGGAATACAATATGGCGTTACCGATAACAGGTTTAAGTTGCTTGGAGGAACCAGAATTTCTCAAGACTAGGATCCGGTGTTTTTCAACCTAGGCTATGGCTAAAAAATTGGAAGACAACCAGGCAAGATGGGAAGAAAATGAAATAACTGTTAAATGCAAATATTTCTTCTAAAAACATATTATATGAGGGAATTCACATAGTATATTTATCATATAAATATAACTATATTTATTAAAATTTTACCAACTCTAATTGAGCAATACTAATTTCCTTGTGAAAATATTCACTTGCATAATAAGAAATATTCATTTGCTTAATAAAAAATATTCACTTGCATAATAAAATCTGACATAGTGAAGATATACTTACGTAAGAGGGCACTTGAAGGAATGCTGACGGTGAGAACATTAGATCCACTCATAGAACAATAGGCACACAATGCTGCAGTTGCCATGGCCACAATGGACAGTGCCACCATCACAGAAGTAGGCGGAAGTAATCTCCCAGGTCTTCGATTGCCTCCACTTCGCCGTTCGCCAGACCCAGGATGAGACCCCGTCTCACCCCTGCTTTCTGCTGTCATGGTTACGACATTCTGTCTACTCCATGCTGGGTCCCTTCTGTTCAGGCTCTTCCCAATATTGTAGGTGTCGTCGGAAATTTGCGTTGGAATCACATAGGGACCATCTACTTCTTCATTGTCTTCATCCTACAAAAAAAAAAGATGTTTTAATTAAAGTTTCAGGAATGATAATTCTAATTTCTAAGGTGGATTTACCTGTGGTAAATATTTTTTAAGAACTAAAATCTAGAATTACAAAAACAAAAATAAAATGAATATTCAATACAATCAGAAAAGTTTTAGAAAGTCAGGCAAAATGTTTAAAATAATATGTATAAGTAGTACGAGATATTTGAGTAAACACATTGAATAGATCATAAATGAAGAGTTATCTAACATAATTTTATGTGAAAAGCACACAATTTTGAAACTTTTGCTTCTCTTTTAGATGTATTGAAAGGATTAACATGATAGCTTCTAGTTTGGTAAAAAAATCTAAAGAAACCTTAACCTGATAAACAGATTATCTATCAGAAACCTTAACCTGATAAACAGAATGTCCTTTTTATTTCTAAGATAATCAGCTTCTTTTTTATGTGCTGTATCCCTTCAGCATGTAGATGATCATGGCTCCCAACAAGTTCCTATATTTCTAGCTTTTAGCAATGCTTGTTCTTTTTTATTATCTCTTTCACTTCCTTGTTCTTTCATCCGATTTAAAGGTATGCTGTGCTCATGCTTGCCAGCCACAGGAATTTGGAGATAGTCAGCTTTTTGGGAGTGGCTGAGTCCTTCATCAGTAATGAGCTTGAGGCCTCTGGTAAAAACATCTCATCTGTGACCAAGAGAAACAGACATTCTCAGTAATCAGACATTATAAGGCTGACTGAGTTTGTTCAACAGGTCTAGGATAGGATGTCCTTAGGAAGTCAATGAGAGCTCTCGACATGCAGCTTAAGGTGGCAGAATCCACTATCAGAGTTGTTATGTGGTACACTATTGGAGGAAGGATACAATACCAGTCATATAAAAGAAGATCAGATCAGAATGTATTCTGAAGAAGCTCAAACATTCTGAAGAGTACCCTATGCTCTGGTTCTTCTACAAAATCAGGTGAGCACAAGCAATGACAGAACACTACAGAGGTACGTGCACACCAAAATCATGTTATCTGGGATCATCTTGGTAGCTGTGAGCAATGAAGACAATCTCAAGTGTCCTACTTCTTCCAATGAAGTTTTAGGAACAATGCTAGCATTTAAAATGATATGATGGACACAGTGGTTAAATCATAAACCAAGATGTGGCCTAAAGTAGACATGTACATGTTCCAAAAGGTGTACACATTTTTATTTATTATAATTATTTTTAGCATATTATATATATATATATATATATATATATATATATATATATATATATATATAAGGTCTGACAATTGTGTTTAGCATGGAACAGATTGTTGCCTCTGGGTGTTGACTTCAATATCCACTTTTATATTTACATATGCTCATTCCTTCTCTCATAAATATACCATACTTTAACACAATATTTTATCATATATATATATATATATATATATATATATATATATATATATTATTATTATTATTATTATTAAATTATTCAAACATTATTTTTTACTGATACCTATATTTGAGTAAACACTCTTTAATTTAAACAGGATTTGTCTACTGGCCTGTACACTCAAGACAACTTATCCCCCAGCACAGTAATTAAAATATGTTTAGTTACTATATATATATATATATATATATACATAGATAGATATAATTAAAACAAAAGATAGTCCACATGTGCTTCTTATATGTATATTTAATAGGCCAGTTACTAAAATGTTTTTCAATACATATTTATAGTTATGAATAAAGAGGAGTACACAGAATGGCACTGGGCTATTTAATAATTCCTTTAAAAAAGCTGCAAGATAATATGTATCACACCCAAAGAAATAATCAGTTATTTCAGTATTCTTAGATTATCAATAATGAATAAATATTTCTAGCTGAAGGGATATGTGCTATTTGTTAGGGTTTTTCTAATTGTTTATTGGAAAGCTATTTTTATTATAACTTTGTAAACATAAAGTAACACATAATGTAAACAATATCAGAATTTAGTCACCAAAACCATTAGAATTAACATATAGATTTTACTGAACAAGTTTTGTAGATGTCTTTTCAAAAGGAGATTACTTAGCCCAATATAAAGTTTAAAAATGATACCCTATTGAATTTCATCATTATACAGTAAAATTATCAAAAAGTATATTCCAAGATAAATTGACTTTATAAAAGTTAATGTTTATTAAATCTTTTGTCTATTAGTCACAATATTGAACAATTTTGAGAAAATACTTTTTTAGCAGATGTTCAATGCCTGCATTAAAATACCTCATTTCTAGAAGTCTCTGTGTATTAATACCTCATTCCCAGCAGTCCTTTGTATCAATCTTGGTTAGTAATAAGTTAACCCATTACATAAATGCATTGATAAAATAAAAATATTTTTAAATCAGCCTCATCTAAAACTAGGACCCCTTAACCTGATAAACAGATTGTCCTTTTTATTTCTAAGATAATCAGCTTCTTTTTTATGTGCTGTATCCCTTCAGCACGTGGATGATCATGGCTCCCAACAAGTTCCTATATTTCTAGCTTTTAGCAATGCTTGTTCTTTTTTATTATCTCTTTCACTTCCTTGTTCTTTCATCCGATTTATACAAGCCCATTAGATAGGTTACTTGTTGTCTCCTCCTCCATCCACCTTGTCTTCAATATGTCCTGTGAGTGTCAAATTTTCCAAGCCCTCATTACGTGTGGTGGCCCCTCAGGATATGAATGTTCTTGGCTCTCCTCAACTTCCTACCCTTTGTAGCTCTAAGCAATTTTGTTCACTTACTCTCATTCCCTGTTCTGCTATTTATTTATACAAGCTAATTAGATAGGTTACTTGATTTTTCCCTCTGCCTCTCTTTTCTTCAATATGTTCCCTGAGTGTCAAATTCTCCAAGCTGTCTTTCCTCATTACACACCACAGACACTTCAAATGTTTGTTTCTAATTCTAAGTATAAATGTTCTTTATAGTCTTGAAAGTTCCTTGTTGCTTACACTCTTTGTCCATGATATAATCAACATCTGTCTGTCAGACCACATCACTATCACCTCAAGGCTTCTCTTCATCTGTGGGGAAATCGTCCAGTTTTTATTAACATATAGGAGGGTTGATGTCCTATGAGTGTTAAATTTTCCAAACTCTCATTATGTGCAGTGGCCCTTCAATATATGAATGTTCTTGGCTCTCCTCAAATTCCTATGCTTTGTAGCTCTAAGCAATTTTTGTTCACTTACTATCCTACACATTACCTATTCTGCTATTTATTTATACAAGATAATTAGGTAGGTTACTTGATTTTTTTTAATAGTCCAGCTTTCATATATAGGAGGGATGATATTGCTCAGCATTTTTTTTCTTTATTTCTAACAAAATTTTCCAGTTTCTTAGTACTTTGTTTAGTTTTCAACTTTGCCTTTGAATTTTGTATCCTCTGTTAAAACAGTTTCCAGATATTTAAACTTCTAGATGGGTGACTGCTTATGAATATCAGGTTCTGTAAGTTTGGTTATGCAGGTGGTGCAGTAGATAATGGCTCAGAATTGTTAATCAAAGAGCCGAGTTCCAGTTCAGTTTGTTATATTCACTTACGTACAAATACATTTAGGAAAAGTATGAATCCACCTCTTCTCTCCCAGCTATTAGTTAATTAGTAAGACTTGTATCACTAAATCATTATTATCTCAAAAAAATTCTAATAATCTAAAAATATTTTCTGGCTTTAAATAACTTGCACAGTGTTGATAAGCCAAAGAAAATGAATCAATCAAAATTTGAACAACAAAAGAAAACTCACATTTAAGAAATATCCTTGCTTTTAAAAAAGATACCACTATATTAAAAATATATTAAAAAATAAAAAAGCAAGTATTTTGTGATAACAGTCATTTTTTTCAGTTAAATGTGATGTAGATGACATGTTACATTCTATATTTGTATATATTGACACAGAAAATGGCTTCAGTTTAAAGATACACTAAAATATACTAAGCAAGACTTCCTTTGCAAAAGAACTTTGATTTTGGACTAAAATGAAAAGGAATTTTTTAAAAAAGCAAAGATGCAGATGCTACCAAAAATTAACTCACAGAAATATTTACATCATCACGTTTGCAATGCACTTCTTGGTATTCCTCAGTGAAAAAAAAAGATTCTTATTAGATGTATTTATTTAAGTTTTAACAAATGAGTTATAAATATCTCAAAAGATGTTCATCTTTCTCTTGTGTATGAAGCAAATTAGATTGTGTATGTGTCTAATTTTGTTGACTTTGCTTTTGTAATTTTTTAACTTTGGTCTGTTACCATCAAAACTAACCTACGTCAATGTCAAAAATTGAATTGTTTTTTTTTTCACTGATCTGTTTTATATTTTTTGAAAAAAGAAAAATAATTTGTTCACTAATTTAGTAAGAACTTTTCCCACAAGTTTCCTTGCTGTTTTTTTTAACTTTTCAGCTTAAAATAGAAAATAGCAATGAAATAATAAAATAATTTTGTGCATTTTCTAAGTTTATTTTTTCTTTCAGTACCTGAAGATGGTTGGAAAATATACATGTCAAAATAAATTCTTAACTTTTCTGTTTAAAGCAGAATTTTTTAAAACTAAATACATTTTGTTTTTTAAATTCTTTAGTAGGATGAAGGTGAAGAACTACTCAGAGATAACTTTACCCATGAAGTCAGTGGAATACAATATAAAAGAGCATAGAATGATAAATTCATAGAATAACCAATATCATGTATTACTCTATTATACTTATAATTAATTAGAGAGAAGGGATACTAAAAATGTTCTTTCAAATTTTGAAGATATGTAGGGTTGCCAGTAGAATAAAGAATCAAGTAAAAAATTTTCATTAAAAAAAGATTCATTATACATTTG